AAACCACACTGGCTCCTGCCAGCCGCACATCTGGGGCCTGGGGGTGCCCACTTAACCCCTTCCTAAGTGGGGCTCTTTTAGGGAGCCGAGATCCGAAATATCCTTCTTTTTTTTTCTTTTACATTTTTAGTGAAAAAGGGGGTGGGTGACATGACAGCAGTCTTCCAGTATCTCAGGGGCTGCCCCAAAGAAGAGGGAGTCAAGCTATTCTCCAGAGCACCCTGAAGGCAGGACAAGAAGCAACGGATGGAAACTCCTCAAGGAGAGAAGCAACCTGGAACTAAGGAGAAAACTTCCTAACAGGGAGAACAATTAACCATTGGAACTGCTTGCCTCCAGAAGTTGTGGGTTTTTAAAACGAGACTTGACCCCCGTATTGTCCAAACCGGTATAGGTCTCTTGTCTGAGCAGGGGGTTGGACTAGATGACCTCCAAGGTCCCTTCCAACTCTGCTATTTTGTACTCTGTGTGGTTTCCCCACCCATTGCTTACTTCTCTGGACAAAATGATTGCAGGAACTGGGTAGATCTATCTAGTCTAATGAAGAGAAGGACTTGGGGTGATCGGATAGCAGAGTTCCAATATTTGAGGGGCTGCCACAAAGAAGAGGGGGGGGTCCTCCTATTCTCCAAAGCCCCTGAGGGCAGGACAAGAAGCAACGGGATGGATGGGAACTAAACAAGCTGGAACGAACGAGAAAATTCCTAACCGTGAGGACAATTAATCAGTGGAACAACCTGCCTCCAGACGTTGTGGGTGCTCCATCACTGGAGGTTTTTAAGAAGAGTTTGGGCCACTCTGTCTGAGCAGGGGGTTGGTCTAGGGCAAGGAGGCAACCTTGGCTCTTTTATGACTCATGGACTTCAACTCCCAGAATTCCTGAGCCAGCTGTGCTGGCTCAGGAATTCTGGGAGTTGAAGTCCATGAGTCATAAAAGAGCCAAGGTTGCCTACCCCTGGTCTAGGGCTTTTCAACCTTTTCACCCATTGTACCACTTTTAGGATATGGCAACATCCGAGTACCACCAATCGCCTAGCAAGGTGTCAAAAACTTGATGACCCCCCCCCAAAAAAGGAAAAAAAGTGATAAAGTACAGGTAGTCCTCGACTTACAACAGTTCGCTTAGTGACTGTTCAAAGTTACAAGGGCACTGGAAACAGTGCCCCCCCAAGCCACAGCCGAGCAAGACACCTGCCTGCCCGCCCGGCCGCACTCTTCCTCCTGTCCGAGGTTTTCATTGTTGTGAGCATTTCTGTTGAGGATTGGCAGTGGGGGTGGGGTGAGGGGGTGTTTGGTTTTTATTCCCCCCCCCCCATCTGCTGGATGGTTGCAGCAGGTTTTGGTCACTTCCCATGACCCTGGGACACTGTGACCGTCATAAATATGAAGCAGTTGCCAAGCATCTGAATGTAAATCACAAGACCCTGGAGATGCTGCAACATTCCAGCTGATTGGCGCTTCTTCTGGGCTCAGCAGAAGCGCCAGGATCAGTGCTGCTTTCCAGCTGATTGGTGCTTCTTCAGGGTTCAACAGAAGCACCAGGATCAGCGCCGAGCTCCAGCTGGAGCCTGGCGCTGATCCTGGCGCTTCCGCTGAGCCCTGACAGCCCTGCAGCTCCAGCTGTCTCTCGCTCAGGCTTGTGTGGTGCTGCCACCGGTTCAGCCCATTCCCCTCCCCCGCTACCACTTTTCTAGGATGGTCGCGTACCACCTGCCAGGTGCCCATGTACCCCAGGTGGTACCCGTACCACTGGTTGAAAAGCCCTGGTCTAGAAGACCTTCAAGGTCCCTTCCAACTCTATTATTCTGTTATTCTTTCTGTCTGTGTGTTTTCTTTTTTTCCAACAGCGTTGATTTCTTTACCCAAATAAATCTGGGTAGGAAAGCAGGACGGGAAAGGGCAGCCAATGGTGAACACAAAGGATGATTTACAAGGCCTTCTTGATCTTTTTCTCAAGCTCTGGAAATTCTTTTTCTTTCTTTCTCTCCTTTTGGGCCAGCCGTCACCTCCTTTCCTGGGACTTTCATTCATCGCAGAATCCCAAGGAGGGGAAGATAAACCTGGATCTTATTTCTTTCTTTTCTTTATTATTACAATCCATACCGCCACCCATCAGCAAAGCCTTAACGCTGGGCAGCTTCCTGCAATTTAGCCCAAGCATCCTTTGTGTCTTGGGTAAAAACTTCACAATTATAATCCTTCGGGGATTGACCCCTCCTTTCAACACACACACGCCCCAGAAAGTATATTTTGATTTATCCCAGGGAGTGCCTGGGAGCTGGAGAAATTATCCAGGGGGATAATTTGCAAAGAATAGGACTGGGGATTTATTCAGGCTTATGTAAGGATCCTGCATCAATTAGTCGTCAAGCCACAGGAATCTTTGTTATTTCAATCCCAAAGGACTTGACGGAAAATTTCACAATTTTCCCTTAATGGATCGGCGGAGAAATTTGGAAAGTTAAAATGTAGAAATGTGGAAATCTGGAAAAGGTAATCTAGGGATAAGTTTACTCAGATCGTAGCTGGTGGGAAGGACGAACCAAACATCAAATTATCATCGAATCATAGGGCTGAAAGGGATTTTAGAGATCTTCTAGTCCACCCCCTGCCGAATTCAAGACTGGCCTCTGAAATGAGCTAGGGTTGTGACGTTTTGTGGATCTGTTTCACCCCAAGAGATCATGTGGTTTAAATCTGGTGGCTTAAATTACTCAATATTTTATCAACTAATCCTCAAAGGCAGAGAGGAACCCGCAAGCCTGAGCAACTTTAAGATATGTGGACTTCAACACCCAGAATTCCCCAGCCAGCATCTAAGAGTCCACACCTCTTAGAAGTTGCTTAAGGTTGAGAAACGCTTAAATGATTGTGTAATATAAGAGGATGCTTAGACGTTGCAATGCATGGAATTTCAAAAGCTCAAGAGTTGATCGAGCAGTCTTGTCAAAGTTAAAAGCTTCATTGTTTGAAGATATTGTGAAAGTAAAATTATAAGACAAAGAAATAATTGGCTTGCATATGGCGGTGGGACTGTAAATCAAGTTGAAGATTATATCAGCAACAAGAATAACGAAGAAGGAAGAAGGAAGAAGGAAAAGAAGAAGAAGAAGAAGAAGAAGAAGAAGAAGAAGAAGAAGAAGAAGAAGAAGAAGAAGAAGAAGAAGAAGAAGAAGAAGAAGAAGAAGAAGAAGAAGAAGAAGAAGAAGAAGAAGAAGAAGAAGAAGAAGAAGAAGAAGAAGAAGAAGAAGAAGAAGAAGAAGAAGAAGAAGAAGAAGAAGAAGAAGAA